GGTCTCAACTAGAGTCCCCAACCCTGAATGTCATGATATTTATGGAATAAAAGGAATTTACTACATTTGGAGACCAATCAAAAAAAGTTCATTGAAACAACTTCATTTTCATCTTTGCTTCACTTCAACCTTGTCCTCATCATTGTATTCTCTTCTTTTATCTTCAATGAATCAATACCTATGATGTCACTTTGTATCTTTTACTCTCTCCATTACAGTTTTCTAATTCATCATTTTCCAATCATAAGTCAATGATATCAACCTATATCAACCTACATAGTCAAAGATTTTCAGGAAAAAGTTTAGCCACAGAAATAAAATGAAAAAGAGCTTATTTTCCAGCTAAGTGAAGTACATAATTTATTGGCACTCTTTCCATATGAAAATAAGGGCACCCTTATTAAAAAAAATCATTATGAATTTCAGGCCAGTGCCACACTCCTCCCTCAGGCACATGTCCATCTGAACACAAGATACGGTGTTTCTGCCCAGGTGGCCTATCCATGATCCAGCTCAAGAGGTAAGATCATATTTAAACAGTTTCTCAAACACTCAATGAGCTTTCAGAGCCTCATGTCCACTTATTTATTTCCTAACTGCTGTAAATTCACAGAACATTTGTGTCTCCTCACCAATAAACACTTTCACATCAACTCATCTGCATGCAGATTTCTATTCTTAACAGCAGCCAGTGCTTATGTGGTTACTGTGTTAGTTTCATGAGACAAAGGAGAGCTCAATAAACACTTTCCCACAGATATTTTAATGAAGGAACATGCATTTCTATGTGTAACATTAACATCTGCCTTACTCTACATAGAACAAGACTCAAAAGTGCCAACAAGCCTAAGGAGCAATGTTTCATCACACACACTGAGCTACAGAGACATGTTGTGACAATAGACTCACCATTTCCAGTCACAGTGATCCCCTGCCTTAGGGTCTTGGCTTCTGCATGTGTGAAGATATAGGAACAGAATTTTCGGGATTGCTCTTGGAAATTCAAATCCAGTTGATTTTCCAACACTTTCTCCAAGTGGTGTAACAGCTTTTTGTCACTTGTAGGTCGGTCAAAGACAAAGCACTTCCGTTTTGGAAAGAACTTCCTGATACACTCTCTAGGCAGGTTGGAATTTTGCATTTTGGGAATTTCACCTTCATAAGTAGAAAAAGAATAATCAGTGAATGATGCTTTCAAGCTGGGGGCTGAAGACTTTCATTCCAGGGATCCATCCAGAGAATGGATGGAGAATCTTTCCTTCATACAGAACCAAGAATGAAGTTGGGAGGGAGGTCTCCATCCCAAATGAATAAACTTATGAGCATTTTCTTTAGTACTTGATGCTATGCAGTGATTGAGTTTTTATCACATGTTTGTTGAATGATGGTTTAATGCAAAAGTTTTCAGAAATATTTTTCTGATACTTGTTAGCCTTGAGATATTGTTTCTAAAGTAAAGTATGGGCATCGTTAAGGTATGTGCTATATAACTGGGAAAATGTCATGTAAGGGACATTTGATAAACAGGAGAGAAACCATTATAAAATCAGAACTGTACAAATAAATACTCATTGAATAACAAGGGATAGGTATAGAATTTCTGTTAGCAGACAGCACCAAAGACTAAGGTTAAGCCTTGCAATTTGGAGGCCTCACCAGTTCTCTATGTCATATTATATTGAACTTGATAATGTCATCCAGAGGGATTCTGGATATGTATCAACTATCAAATAAATATTTGTTGAAAGAATGAGTGATTAAGTAAATCAAAATGGATATTGATTTTACGTATCGTATAGTATCATCTCTGCTACGTATAACCTTAGTAATGAATACTTACATTAATGTTACTACACAAGGTGTGAAGCTACAGAATAAAGAGAGTGTTGTTATGAGAAACCAAAAAGGAAAGGTTTGGACTGTCTCTCACTGGAGGGCTAGATCAATGCTTTTTGGGAAACTTCAAGTGTATAAAACTATTTTATATGTAACTATGTAAGCTAATAAAATAAACTGCATGAAATATATTTCAAAAGTTTGGTAATTTTATATCATTGTGCTTTTGGATTTACCTATTTCTAATATAATGGACATTTATTCTCTAAATAGAAGTGGAGGAACACTTAAACTGAATAAGTAAGAAAGATATGTAGGCTTTAGAAAGTTTGAGCACTCATTATAAGTATGAACTTTCAAGGTATCAATTTTTCTCAAATCATTTGGTCCAATAATGGATTCTAAATTTCATTGTTGGGCTTAAACTCTGATCACTGCTGTTTTTCCAGTCAGGATGATTGACTCCATACCCACCAATCATATACCAATAACCAATATCATAAATTTCAATCCAAAGTCAAGTAAAGAATTCATCTCAACTGTTGAATGACTCGGCATAGTTCATCCTACCTCCACCGAACCTTCCATCAACCGGGACATTCTCTATACCTTTAATCAACTTCAAGGCATTCTCCAGGTACTCATCTTCAGTGATGGGGTGACCATCTAACTCCAGCTCCAGTGTGAAATCACGGACAGCCCAAACAAAGTCTGGAAAGAAACTCACAAACTCGGCTGAGTCATTTTTTTCATCAGAGCTGGGAGAGGATTTTGTCCTGATGAGGTCTGCTAGTTCAGTCACATAGCTGGAATTTAGCTAAGGAAAGAAAAGGGCCTTTCGACAAAACTTCCAGATCTCACTCCCAAGCCACTTTTAGAAACATTTCTATTTGCCCTCCTCTCCCTTTTCTCAGTTCTCCAGGAGAACTGACTTACGGGAAAGAAAAAATAGTGTTACTGCTATTTCCACACACTTGATAATACAAGGTAGTCTTGCTCCATGAAGGATACTGCAGCTGCTCCAGGGCATGATGGTTGATGGTCCCAATGCTGTTGTAGACAAACATGCTGCTGAGAAGCACAGCCAGTGTGAAGATCCACGAGTCATTCTTAGGGTCACCCTAGAAAGTCATTACATTAAGGGGTGTAAGAGCTTACTCTTCTTTCACCAATCATTTCCTCACTTACTACATCATTTGTATTGTTGCTGAATAGTGGTGTAAAAAATCATAAATTTTGAAATCAATCCTAAATGAAAACCTCAATTTTGGAATTTACATTTTTTCCTCTCATGGCCTGAGATACTTTTGCAATTAACTTCAGCAATGAATGACACTATTAGTGTGTGTCAGATATTTAAGACAATGACTAGACATAGAAGTAAGCATGATGCTTATGCAATATTTTTTTTAATCATTGGCTCTATTGGGACACAATTTTTCAATTAAATGAAGTTAACACTTCTGACTATATATCAACAAAATATCAGATGCTGAATTTATTTATGTGAACATAAAATTCCTGCCTCAAGAAGGTGTCTTCCTGGAGAACAGATATATAGGGCAGTATGGAAAGGAAACCATAATGACCACATTTTCAAGACAAAAGGGGACTTCCAACAAACTAGAAAATGTATTCTGTTAATCCAGAGTAAGAAGTGTTCATGTCTAAGTAGACTATGATAGCATTACATTGGGAACAGCATGGGTTAAGCATTGACAGTATGTAGAATTGTGGAGATTAATGAACCATGAGGTAGAGGGACCAATAAAAGACAATTGGAATTGTGGGAGTGCAGACATAAGGTATTACAAAGTTTTTATTTGACTGTGGTTGGTTATTTGTGTGGTAGTAGATGAAATGCTGTAGTGGGATTTGGGACTGTTATGTGTGACTTGTCATAGAATCAGATAATTCTCAAATGCACTGCAAGTTGCAAGGACAGCAATGGCTCTGATGTTATTAACAACAATTCCATGTGTTTTGGTACATTGGTAAATGCAATTAGATACAAAGAAGGTTTATGAAACCACAATGTCTTCAGAATCAGTAGATCATTGTAAGTTTATATTGAGGTAATTATTGAGTATTTTATGCTGAAATATTTAAATTCAGAATATCTAAATTTATATCCTCACTCTTTTTTTGTTAGAAATGGAAGTCTAGGAGCCACTGTTGCTACTTCCAATTCCAAATCTGACTTACATAAATACGAAAAAAAAAAAATTGTATGGAGCTCAGACTAAAAACAAAACATCACAATTATTCCATTTATCATATTTTTGATGGGTCTATTCATGTTTTTATATAAGCAGTGAGGAATTCATCTTCAAAACTCAGAGAATTGTACTAAAACCTAATAAGTAGTCCTGTCATAGCTGAAGCTTTTCTGGGGATTATTTTTATAGACTATTTCAAGATCTCCTATTTTCATGGTTCCTATTCTCAATCCCATTAATTCCCAACTCCCAAACCCCTTACACACATCTTAACTAAAAACAGTCTATTGGGGGTGCAGATCAACATGGTGGTGAGGAAACGCTGCGAGTAAGATCTCCCATTAAAAAAAAGTTAATAGGGAGGAAAAGCAGCAGGTCCCGGTGAGAACTGGGACACGGAAGATAAATGGGCAACTACAGCAAACTACCCGAAGGAGAAAGTTGCCATAAAAGAGGACTAGAAGGGAGGAAAGCGCAGAACCCTGCTCCCCTCCCCCACCCACAGGGTTGGCACTCTCCGACCACCAGAAAGGAGGAAAAAAAAACAAACTGAGACGACCAACAAGAACAAACTACGCATCAAGCGGGACTGTGAGTGGAAAGGAACTATTTCAGCCACAACACCCCTTGAACTGGAGCTGTGGAGAACCCTGCAGGATTCGCCGCGGAGGTGAGCGAACGGCTCCAGGTGCCATTGAGAAAAACAGAGACTCCTGGAGACCTACACACAGCCCCAGGCCAGCCAGTATGCTTGTGCAGAAAAGAGGTGCGCTTGAAAAGGATACGCGGATCACGGCTGCCCAGGTCCCCGGGCCTGCGACCTAGGCTTACGGGGAGACGCGCGGAGGCCCTCACTGAGGTGAATGTCCCTCACTGAGTAATCAGAAACCAGGCGCCTGGACACGGGAGCGAGTGAGGTGCAAAAGGCGCCATTTGGGCGGACACTGAACTTGGCTACAGCCTGCGTCCAGGCTTTGGAACTGAGACATGGGGCACGAAATTTGGGGCGTGGGATCCCCAAGACGGTGGGGCACGAGGCAGACACAGCACCCCAAAGCCGTTGAGGCTTTCCCCACCACTCCCACTCTGTTCCCCTGTCCCACGGGGTAAAAAAAAAAACCAGCTCTCCAAGGACACTAGGAGAGATCTCTGGTGCCACCTAGCGACCAGGAAAAAAAATCACCAACACCCCATAGAACAGGGACCTTTCTTCAATAACGATTGCTTGAAACAGGCAGAAGGTTCCAGAGGAGTCAGTGGTGAGGTGGGAAGTTCGCCCAAGCCAGGCCCCTTCTGACCAGCAGTCCGAGCCCAGAGGGGGAGCGGGCACCCACAGCCGGGGCAGACCAGGTGCGTGGAAGAGTGTGCCTGTCACTGAATCGCCATTTTAGAATAGGGACCGTTCTTCAGTAAAGACTGCTTGAAACCAGCAGAAGGCTCCCAGAGGAGCCAGAGGTAAGCTGGGAAGTTCACCCACACCAGGCCCCTTCTGGCCAGCAGTCTGAGCCCAGAGGGGAGTGGGCACCCACCACCAGGGCAGACCGGGTGTGCAGGGGAGTGTGTCTCTGCATAGCCACTTTAGAACAGGGACCTTTCTTCAATAAAGACTGCTTGAAACTGGCAGAAGGCTCCCTGTGGAACCAGAGGAAAAGGTTCCCTGTGCAGTCAGAGGTGAGCTGAAGGCCCCCACAAGCCTGGTCCAGCCTGACAGGAAGTTGGAAACCAGAGAGGGATCCAGTGATTTGGAACCCAGAGTGCAATCCAGCTGCCCCACCTCCAGGGAAGTTAGTGGGACTTCAAAACACACCTTTGTAATTAAACACAGAAGGAGGAAATATTCTGGGACAGTGACAATTGACATACTCAAAGTACCACTGCCTCATTAGACTTCTGGCATAATAGTATTTGACTCATTTAGACCGCCAGTTCCTGAACCCCACAAAGAGCAAACCAAAAAGATGCTGGCCCGTACCAGCAACACACTGTCCCAAGACATACAGCAAATTAGAAAACAGGCAGTAGGGAGTAGAAAAACTACACGCAACCCAGCAACTCCTCAGGAAAAAGGCACACCACAAAAAGAAAACCACCCACCAGACTGCAATGACAGTAACTTGGAAGAACTTCTGAGCCTTCCAGAAAGAGAATTTAAAATTGCCATGATTAAAAAACTGACAGAAGTCATAAGGAAAACAATAATAAGGGAAAAATAATCAACAATCAGAAGAATGAAATTGAGTCCCTAAAGAGGGAAATAAAAGAAATGCAGGAGATCAAAGAATTATTGGAGGAGCTAAAAAACTCTGGGAAAAGCAATGAAAGCAGAATAGATGAAATGGAAGAACGTTTAAGTACTTTGAAGACACAGAAGTAAAAAGAACCAAACAAAAAAAGGAAAGAGAAGTACAAAGGAAAAAGACCGAAGAAAGACTTTGGGAACTATCTGACTCCATGAGGAAAGGAAATATAAGAGTTATAGGAATCCCAGAAGGAGAGGAGAGATATGTAGGAACAGAGAAAATATTCAAGGAGATAATTGAAGAGAACTTCCCCAACGTGAAGAAGGAGCTGAAAATTGATATACAAGAAGCAAGAAGAACACCAAACTTCCACGACAAAGAAACACTACAGGCAAGGAGAGAGTGGAGGGACATAGTCAATAGACTCCAAGAAAACAAATGCCAACAAAAATACTCTATCCCGCAAAGCTCTCCTTCCTCTATGAAAAAAGAATAAGGACCTTCCCAGACAAATAAAAACTCTGGAATTTCATTACGACTAAACCCCCACTCCAAAAAATACTACAAGGAGTCCTAAAGCCAGAACCTCAGAGGGACAAATAACAATGAAAGAAGGCCAAAAAAAAAAGTTATTAAAAGAATAAAATCAAATCAAATCAAAGGAAAGACAAACACAATGGCAAATACAGATACTAACATATCAATATTAACTCTAAATATAAATGGACTAAACTCTTCAATGGAAAGACACAGAGTTGCAGACTGGATTAAGAAACAAAACCCAACCTTTTTTGTCTCCAGGAAACACATTTAGCTACAAAAAATAAAAATAGCCTCAAAGTTAAAGGATGGAAAACAATCCTACAAGCTAATGGACCAAAAAGGAAAGCAGGAACAGCTATACTTATATCAGATAAAACAGATTTCAAAATCAAAAAGGTAAAAAGAGACCCCAATGGTCACTACATTATGATCAAGGGGACAATACTTCAAGAAGAAATAACACTCACTAACATATATTCACCGAATAAAGGAGCATCAAAATGTATCAGACAACTATTGTCATCTTTGAAAACAGACATCAGAGAAAACACATACGTAGTGGGAGACTTCAACACACCACTATCAACAATGGATAGATCAATGAGACAAAAAATAAGTAAAGACACTAAAACTCTAAATAAGGATCTAGAGTGCTTGGGTTTAACAGACATCTATAGAACACTAAACCCCAAAAAAATCTGAGTACACATTTTTCTCAAGTGCAAACATCATCTTACAGGATCGATCACATACTGGGACACAAGACAAACATCAACAGATACACCAAGATTGAAATCATACCAACCATCTTTTCTAACCACGAAGGCATCAAACTACAAATAAACCATAAAAAGAAGGCAAAGAACTCTCCTGCCTCATGGAGATTGAAAACCACACAACTGGAAGACCACTGGACTAATGAGGAGATCAAAGAAGAAATTAAAAAATTCTTTGAAATGAATGACAAGGAGGACACCAATTTCCTAAATGTATGGGATGCAGCAAAAGCACTAATAAGAGGAAAATATATAGCAATAGAGGCTCACATCAAGAAACAAGAAAGAATTCAAAGAAATAACCTAATTTTGAAGCTCAGAGATATAGAAATAGAACAACAACAACAAAAAGAAAACCAAAACCAGTAGAAGAAAAGAAATAATAAAAACCAAAGCAGAAATAAATGAGATCAAAACTAAAAAAACAATCCAAAAGATCAATGAAACCAAGAGCTGGTTCTTCAAAAAAATAAATAAAATAGACAAACCCCTAGCCAGGCTCACAAAGGGAAAAAGGAGAAAGCACAAATAAACAGGATCATAAATGAAAGAGGAGAAATCACAATGGACACAGCAGAAATCAAAAGAATAATCAGTAACTACTATGAACAGTTATATGGAAACAAGTTCAACAATCTAGAGGAGATGGACAAATTCCTACAACTCTATCACCCAAAGCTAGATAAAGAAGAAATAGAACACTTAAACAGACCAATTACAAGCAGCGAAATTGAAATGGTAATCAAAAACCTCCCCAAAAACAAAAGCCCAGGACCTGATGGATTTACAAATGAATTCTACCAACATTCAGAAAAGAATTAGTGCCTATCCTTCACAAACTCTTCCAAAAATTTGAGAAGGAAGGGATAATACCAAACACGTTCTACGAAGCCAACATTACACTAATACCAAAACTGAACAAGGACAACACAAAAAAAGAAAACTACAGGCCAATCTCCCTAATGAACACTGATGCAAAAATCCTCAATAAAATTTTAGCTATCAGAATCCAACAATGTATCCATAAGATAATCACCACAACCAAGTAGGATTCATTCCAGGGACACAAGGACGGTTCAACATCCGAAAATCAATCAACGTTATCCAACATATCAACAAAAAGAAATATAAAAACAATATGATTATATCAATAGATGCCGAGAAAGCTTTCAACAAAGTGCAACACCCATTCATGATAAAAGCCCTTGAAATTCTCGGGATACAAGGAACATACCTCAACATCATAAAGGCCATCTATGACAAGCCAACAGCCAGTATCATTCTCAATGGTGAAAAGCTGAAAGCATTTCCATTAAGATCTGGAACAAGACAAGGATGTCCACTCTCACCACTGCTTTTCAATATAATACCGGAAGTCCTAGCCAGAGCAATAAGACAAGAGAAAGACATACAAGGAATCCAAATAGGAAAAGAAGAAGTCAAACTATCACTATTTGCAGATGATATGATAATATACATAGAGAACCCCAAAAACTCCACAGAAAAACTAATTCAACTCATCACTCAGTTCAGTAAAGTGGCAGGATACAAAATCAACACACAAAAGTCAGTAGCCTTCCTATACACAATAAATCTGAAGAAGAAGAAATCAAAAAAACCATCCCTTTAATTATCAAAACAAAAAAAATCAAATACTTGGGAATAAATCTAACAAAAGAGGTAAAGGACCTATACGAAGAAAATTATAAAACACTTTTAAAAGAAAATAGAAAAAGACACAAAGAAATGGAAAGACATCCCTTGCTCATGGATTGGAAGAATAAACATTATTAAAATGGCCATCCTACCAAAAGCAATACACAGATTCAATGCTATTCCAATAAAAATGTCAATGTCATTCTTCGAAGAAATAGAACAATTATTGATGAAATTCAAATGGTATCAACAAAAATCTTGAATAGCCAAAGCTTTCCTGAAAAAAAAAAAAGAAGGGAATGGATGCATCACACTCCCAGACTTCTTCAAACTATACTACAAAGCCATAATCATCAAAACTGCATGGTTTGGAACAAGAACAGACACACAGACCAATGGAATAGAATAGAAAATCCAGAAATAAACCCACAGAGTTATGGTCAACTAATCTTTGACAAAGGAGCAAAGAATGTGCATTGGAGCAAAGAAAGTCTGTTCAATAAATGGTGCTGGGAAACTGGGTCGCTACATGCAACAGAATGAAGCTTGACTACTACCTAACACCATGCACAAAAACCAAAATGGATTAAAGAACTAGACATAAGACCTGAAACCATAAAATACATAGAAGGAAATAGGCGAAACACTACGTGATATGCACATCAAAGACATCTTTACAGACACATGACCCAAAGCAGTGATAGTGAAGGCAAAGATAAACAGCTGGGAGTACATCAAATTAAAGAGCTTCTGCACAGCTAAAGAGACAATAACAAAAACAAAGAGAAACCCCACCAACTGGGTTAACATTTTTGCACACAACACTAATGATAAAGGACTGATCACAAAAATCTGCAAAGAGCTGATGAGACTCAACAACAACAAAGAAAATAATCCAGTCCAAAAATGGGCAGAAGAGCTAAAAAGAAACTTCTCTGAAGAGGAAATGCAAATGGCCAACAGACATATGAAAAAATGTTCAACATCACTTGTAATCAGGGAAATGCAAATCAAAACTACCATGAGATACCATCTCACACCAGTGAGAATGGCACATATTAAAAAAACTAGCAACAACAAATGTTGGCGAGGTGGTGGAGAAAAAGGAACTCTCCTGCACTGTTGGTGGGAGTGCAAACTGGTCCAACCACTATGGAGAGCTGTGTGGAGATTTCTGGACCTACTAAACATAGAGCTTCCATATGATCCAGCAATTCCACTCCTAGTTATTTACCCAAAGGACACAGAAACATTCACCCCTATGTTTAGAGCAGCACTATTTACAATAGCTAAGCTTTGGAAACAACCCAAATGCCCAAAAATAGATGACTGGATCAAGAAGATGTGGTACATATACACCATGGAATATTACTCAGCATTCAAAAAAGATAAACACATGCAATTTGCAGCAACATGGATGGCGCTGGAAGGGATCATTCTCAGCGAAATAAGCCAGAAAGAAAAAGAAAAATACCGGATGGTCTCACTCATAGCAGGAATCTAGAAAACTTAAATAAGGGACCAGGAAAAAGAATAACTATAAGAAAGAAAATATCAAAATCAACAAACAACTATGAACCAGAGACATTCTATGGTGGGTGGGAGGTGGGAAAAAGAGGGCTTGGGGTCAAAATAAGGGGGTTGTAATTGTATGTTGAATATAAAAAATAAAATTTAAATTAAAAAATAAAAATAAATAAATCTTTAAAAAAATTTTTTTAAATGTCTATTGACCCATAGGTTATAGCTTCCTCCAGATGTTTCCCATATCCTGAATCATTACATTTTGTTCTTCATTTTTATATCTATGGTATCCAGTACTGATAACCTCCTTATTTCTATTCTCCCAATACTAGACTCTGGGTGTTTCTTTCCTTCACTGTACTTAACACTGTAATTCCTTAAGTACAGTGTACTTCCTTAAGTAACATAACACAAAAGCCTCAGTTCAGCAACCAGGTCACTTTTTGACTAGTATCATTCAATGTAGTGTTAAAAATGAGAAGGTCTAGTCCTAATAAGTAAAGTACTAATCTTTAAAGGAAACAAATTCAAAACAGAATTTAACCTCATTGTTCAAAATATCATGTCATAAAACTGAATTGAGGTGACAAAGTGAAATATAAATAGGGTATTGAGAGCAAAGAAGATTCTGTGCCTTACCTTTTCCACATCCCCCAGGCCCTCAGTGTCCAGAAGGACCAGGGTGTGCTTTGGCTTGGAGGGGTGGGGCACACACCACATCCAGATGCCCTTGGTTTCAGACTGCACTGTGGAGCCCAGAGGGAAACCTGAAATGAAAGGGGATAAAGTGTTACTGATAATAGATAATCAGGTAATATATAGTCCAGGATGTCCATGGGTTACATTAGTTAAACTTGTAATATGTAGCTTTTAGGTTACATTGACTAAATTTATTATATATGTGTGTTTTATGCAACCCTGTCTATATGTTATAGCTTGCACAGTAGAAAATACCAAATAGAGAAAGAGAAGGGCAGATAATTGATCCCTGATTGAGAGGAAAATTGCTACTGTTTCAGCAAGGACAAGCTTATTAAGGAAATTCTCAAGAAGGAGTTTATATTCCTGGTTCATCTCACACCATCACTGACTCACATGTCACATTAGTGAATTATGTAAACTAGTTTATTTTAAACATTTTTAGAAATTGGGGTTTTTTTTTAGTTGAGGTAACATGGCATATATCGCATATGATTTGGAGGTTATATTTCACACAGTTCTTCAGATGTATGTTACTAACCACGACAACTATCAAGGCATCCATAGTTCTCACCATAGTGCAGTCCCTCCATGCTCTGTTCCCACCTACACCCCTCCTCTTTTGGAGCTTAAAAAATAGCAAGTACCAAAAGAGGTAACAAGTTAGAATAGAATTCTTGAAATAAGAAACGCTAGAAGGGCCTCCCTGGTGGCACAAGGGATTAAGCACCACACTATGAAGCTATCCTCAACTACTGCAGCACGAGTTCGATCCCTGGTCAGGGAGCTACCCACATGGCACAGCAGACCTCTCCTGTCTCGCCCGCTGCTCCCCTCAGCAGTGTATTTCAGTCAATCTGCCTGTTTTGCTCCCCACTCTGTCTCTGGTGATTCCTCTCACCCCCTGAAATTCTGGCCTGTACTCCAGTTCTTGTATGCATAAATAAATAAATCTTTTAAAAGAAAAAGAAAGAAATGCTAGTAGTAGGTAAATATGGGGATAATTTCAAACTATACAGAATGAGGCCAATAACTGTAGAAGACCAATAACTATATAATGCATATAAATAGTCACTAAATCAGCAATAGTTAAACAGCCTTTTTTCCCAGTTGTTTTTTTTTTTTTGAAGATGTGCATAATTCTCAATTGCTGTTATCTAATAAGCATATAAATTGCATATAAAGTTTGAAAAGCTATCTGTTAATATCTAGGATGGCTGAAAGTATATATATTCTATGAACCAACAGTTCTACTTCTGGGAATATCACAAACACAAATACAAGAATACAGCACCATTCATAAAAACTAGAATAATTCCAATGTTCATCAACAACAACTGGATACATAAATTGTGGTGTTTCTGGACACTAGTGTAGTATAATTGGGTAAATAAATAATATATACCTATGACAAACTCTAAGGACTTTACTATAAACTTCTTGTTGAGCAATGGAAGCAGGAATACCAGAAGTATAATTCCCTTTATATAGAGTTTAAGCTATTTCTGAGAAATACATATGCAGATTATAAAACTAATTATAAAAATTGAAGAGTGAGAGAATGCACCATGAAATGATAAGCATTGATGAACTCTAGTATTTTGTTGATGTTTTATTTTTATATCTGGACAGTGATTATAGAGCTGGTCAGTTTATATTTACTAAATTTATCATATTTGTATATGTTTTATGCAACCCTCTCTATATGTTATAGCTTGCACATTAGGTAACAACAAATAGAGAACAAAAAAGGATATAACTGATCAAATTTTTCTATAAAATGATGCAAAAATGCTTTAATGTATCCTCATTTATATGGAATATACTGGGTTTCTACTAACTGTCCTTCATCCATCCATTTTTAAAATGAAGTCCTAATGAGCAATATTTTTGATATGACCTAATTTAGGGCAAAATTTATGTTGGAACAAGTAAGGGAATACTTGCTAGCCTGAGCTACTAAGCAGATAAGAGCAATTGAAATTAAATTAATGAGGTATCATTTGTTAAAGTTTGGGAAAGGGAGATTTGGGGCAGATGGGGTTGAAGTGATAAATGTAGCAATGATAATTAGTATTCTTCAGTGGGAAGTGCTATTTTTTCCTAAAATGAACTTAAAGGAGGTGCCACATCAGTCTCTGTCCTCACTGATGTCCAGCATGTGTCCCCTGCCCCGGAACAGCACTCACCACAGTTCTGTCCTGCCAGGCGGTTCATTAGGTAGGACTTCCCTGTGCGATACAGCCCTGCAATGGCCACCACCACCACAGGCTCCGAGATCTTCTCCAGAATCCTCAGTGCTTCTCGATTTACCCTCAGCTGCTGTTTCTCATTTTCCACTAGACAGATGGGGGCTGTCATGTTGGATCTAGATGCCATGGTGAGCTGTAACCCAAAGGAAAAACTCCAAAAAACAAGAGCACTGCAGGTTAAAGCACATGGTTACACAAGCCATGTACATATCAGCTTTCTGCTCCGGAATGTATATCTCAATTTTGTATATTTTGTGTATTTCTAAAGACCATCATATAGCCTCTTGCATCAACATTGGTGCAGTGACCTAATGAAACTTATATTGCTGATGAATCTTTAAACTTGATCTATAAAGTGAATGGAACGAAAATATAAAAACTAAGCGCTTATGATGAAGTTGTAAAACACTAACATTTGGGGAGTAAATGGAGAAAGAAAGGGAGGTGGAGATAAGGAGCATCCAGGATCAATTTATTTCTCATTAATGCAGAAATACTTTTTGAGTACCTACTATGGGACTTGGTCATGGAGCTCAATTCTAGTGTGTGGGGTGGGGGCAGGGGGAAAAGATAGACAAGTAACAAAGAAACAAAATGGCAACACACGTATATTATATAGTACATGCTAGAGGAAAATAATGAGGTAATAGGCATAGGAGGTATTGGTGGTTGAAGAGATATGGGGTGTGTCATGGAAGCCCTTTCCTAGAATGAGAAAATAAATGTATCAGCAAAGGTGATGAGGACAGGTTTGGTGAATGTGTGGCAGCAGGAACAGGCTGGAAGAATAGTGACCCTGAGCAAAAGAACAGAGAAAAATGGAACTCTCTCAAAACACATCACCATAATACCTGGAAACAGTTATGGGTGCAGGAATTATGATGAAACACACTTAAAGTGCAACCTTATCCAGATAGAGGACTCTGGGTAGGAATTGTAATGGGTACAGGAATTAATAAATGTAGCCAGATTGAAATTTCTTACTTATGGGGTGACAGGGTAGAGAGGTTGTGGTCAAGGTGATTTAGGACCTGCCCAGCTCTGACACAGTCCTACATCTGGGCAACTTTTTGTAACAGTGATTGGGTGATCACATGAATCAGAAACTTTTCATCACAGTGATGGGGTGATCACATGAATCAGCAGAGAGCAGAAAAGAGCTTTGAACACTTCCTGTTCTCAAAGAAAATTCTAAACAACAGTCACATGTCCCCATATTTTCCTAGCTGTGTGACCACTGGAAAGATTATTAATGTCACTGTGCCTCAGTTACTCTTTGGAAAACTGTACTTTCTATTAGTGGACAAATGTCTCATAATTTTTATAATGCTCTTCAAATATTGCTGGTACATAGTAAATGCTACCAAGTAATGATAAAAAGTTGAGTAGGAAGGATTCTCTAAATGAAGATGAGGGATTGACTTTGGACTGCAACAGTGACACCTCTCTCCTGGCGGCAAGTAGGGGAGGACACCTGTCATGAGGAGGAGGAGCAGGCAGGAGAGAACCAGCAGTGACAGCTGAGGGTGCATTAGAGGGAGAGTGAGTCAGGCCAGAGGAAGCAGAGTCCTGGGGTGTCAGAGCACAAACGCTAGAGCCAGGCTGCCAGGGATCAATCCCCAGAGTTCAAATCACTTCTTGTCTGTGAGACCTTGATAAAGGAGCATGCTCTGTGAGTTTCCGTTTCTCATCAGTGTTATAGGTAGAACAATAACTCCTTCCTGATTCATTACTATACAGGCTATTTACAGAGAGGCACTAAATATGTTTTTAATCCAGTATTAATGTACTATTCGACAATGAGTATGTTAGACAATGTGTAAAACTGTATGGTTACTTTAGTGAGCTGCTAATTGCCAGGAAATACAAGATATACAAAAATATCTGGTCAGAAAATACCATCAACTTATTTAACAGGCTTTCTGTAAAAAACCTCTCTCCTTTTTCTATTGTTATTGTGAGCAGAATGGAGAGTCTGTTTCTTTTGTGCTATATGCAGAAGGATGATAGACTTTATTTCTTATGTTGAATATTTTAAAAGTTTAGGGAAAGCAGAGGGGGAGGCATAAGAACAGAGAGGGAAGGAGGAAGCACAGCGAACTATGGGCGTGGACTTCGTCGTCCTGGTGATTTGGTTGTGGGGGCAGTATGGTGGTGATAACTCATGGTGGGGGTATCCTAATATTACCACAATTTTAAAAAATAATTTAAAATAAAGTATTGGAAGGGATAATTGAGTTTACAGCAAATATACTGATGTTGAGGTTAAATTAAATTTAACTGGGTACTGTGAGCTAGTTGCCCTTATTGGTATTGTAGACACCAGCAGCATCCTGTGAGCAAGCTGCCCCATTAAAACCATCAACACCCTAACTACCTGTGGTATTTCTTGTGTCACAGTTTTAACAAAAAGTTTAGATACTTAGCATTTGCCAGCCCAGCTCTTGCTAAGTGAGCATAAAGAAACCACAGGCAAAGGAAACTCAAATGTGAAAGCTATGTCCCAGCTGCTCACTTCTGCAGTCATTTAATTCTGCTTTTCCCTCTCTTGGAATAAAACTGTGCTTTACTTCTAAGCTCTCAGTCTCTGGATTCTCCCACAATCCACCGAGCCGATCTGGACCCCTGGCACCACACCCCACCCACAGCTATAAACTCCAAACAAACAAGTCCTGTGAAACACTTGTATAAGATGGAGCCACATGTTGGATAATTTCCAAAATTTTCTGTTCGCAAGAGTCATCTGGAGTGATAGATAAAAAGAAATACCCGAAACTGTGTCTTCTCAGCAAGTATCGGACTGTTCTGAAACAGCTCTTGTGTGGACCTTGCAGTATACACAGCGAGTGATAGACAAACATGATTAGACCTTACAGGTATTTTTCACAGTGGACTAGTGAGTGTGAGGTTGAATTATTCCATATAACACCGTCAGGTAGAATCTTTAGAATATTAAATGTTGCTAATACAAAAATAGTCTGTAGTCAATCATTTAAGGATTCGCTTTGTAAACGAAGAAGCATTTTTTTCTCTCTGTTTCTCTAAGGACTGTTCAACAGCATTCTCTGATGCCTGACTGGGGTGGTGCTGGAGGTTGGACTGAGGCGGGGGAAGGACATAATCGGGAAATGTCTGAGGTGGAGAAGATGGAGATGGAGGAGCAGGAGTCCCACACAGTGCCTCTGTGAGGGGGAGGGACTAAGAAATGGGTCAAGCACTGTTTCCACAGACAGGGGTTCTGAGGGGATCCACTCCTCCCAAGCAGGGCTCTCTGAGGCAGCCTGGATGGGATCCTGGAGAAGGAGGGCACCTGAGGACAGGGTGAGGACACCTTCACCTCACAGCTGCTTCAAGTCCAAAAGGAGAGACTGAGCTAATGGAGCAACCCCCACCCCCGTTCCTCCACCCCTACTCACCCCACTGCTCTCTCCTCACCCCTCCAACCTGACTTCACCCCACTCCCACACCCCACTCCCACCCTCACTACGTCTGGACTCTTATGCTGCCTCTGGCTGCCTTTGGAGTGGGCCTTGCACTTGGGAATTTGCTTTGTTGTTAAAATAAATATACAAGACCAAGTTCAGGGGGGAACTTACCGGGAGTGGGCGCTGCAGCCAAGTGGGTTCTCGGCTATCCTTGCTGCCTTGGTCCTCTCCTCCTTCCTTGGACTCAGGCAGTGATTCTCTTTTTAAGTTGAAGATCAAACCAGACGTTAGACTGTTGAGCCCCCTTAATGGACATTAACATTAATTCTGCTTTCAGAGAAATGAAACCGAAAGGAAGGAGGTGCTTGTTTATAGGTCGTGATAGTTTATTTTCAGTTTCCTTTTTTTTTTTTTTTCCAGGCGGGGCATGTGATAAGGAGGGAGAAAAAGTGAGGTTCCACCACACTTGGGTTTTGAATTCCAGGGTTTTCCTCCTTTACATGTGACTTAGCTTCTTTGACTCCAGGATAAATACAGAGAAGCAGGCGTGAGTGTAATGGTGAGTCCTAAGGCTAGTTAGGGTTAAGTAGGCAGCTTCAGGGACAATGCAGGCAGGAATTTCAGGAGAGATAAAGAGGCTTCTGAGATAAGGTAATAAATTCTAAGAGGTGCCAACCAAAACACACTCCAGAGATGGAGTGAGAAATCCCGGAGGACTAAATAAACAAGGACAGTAAAACTTGAGAGAATAAGACCTTGGACAGGGGAGGTTAAAGGAGAAACTCCAAGAGAAGAGCCGGGAAAATGGGCTCATCTGCCCAGAGAATAGACACTGGGAGAGAAAGCCCATCACTTAGTAGGATGCTGAGGATGATGAGATTTTAGAATAGAGGAGAAAATTTAAAATATCCCCTAGACCTGGGCCCTCAGAGGCATCTTTTGGCCCTGCATTGGATTCTTCACTCTTGTTCTTTTTCCTCTAAGTAAACTTTTCTTTGCTTTCTAAGTAAAGATTTCCTTGTCTCTGTTTATCTTTCTGAGTTGTCCCTGAATTCCTTTTTGCAGATTCATGGGACAAGGACCCATGGTGGTTTAAGGATTATGGAGTGAAAAGCAGCAGCAGCAGGAGGAGGAGGGTGATTATGGTAACAGAGCACACTGTCTTCAATGGTAGGTGGGCAGGAAACCTGGGACCTCCCCCTTTCCTGGGGACCACCCTGTTACAGGTTGAGAAAGTTCAACAGTCTGCCTCTCCTGGGTGCTTTTCTGAGGGACTGAGTTTAGCTACCACAGATATTCATTTAAAACTTTTACTTGTTGATTTTATTTTTTAAAAAAGAATTTCCCTTTCAACTCTGATTTTTTTTCCTACAGCAATATGTATACACCAGTGTGTGTGTCTAATCCTTTATTTTATAACCCAAAACACATGCACTGTTATTCTGTTGCATACTCCACATTCTCATCAATACTTGTCCTTTGTCTTTTTTATAATAGTCATTCCAATGGGGGTGAGGTAACAGACATCATGTTGTGTCTTTGATTTGCATTTCCTCAAAATTGCTGATAAACTTTGCATGGTCCTATTGCCCTTTCTATGTCTGTTTTGTAAAAATGTCTATTTATATCCTCTACCCATTTTTTTTACTCAGATGTATTTTTTAATTTGTAACAGGGTGGTCCCCAGGAAAGGGGAGGTTCCCTGCCCCACCCAAGGGAGGGTGGAGCTGAGCAGGAAGAGAAGAGGAAGCTGCAGAAGAGACGGAGGAAGGAAGCAGGATGGAGCCAGGAGACCTGGAGGAGGCGCATGGAGCCTAGAGACACGTGAAGAAACTGCGCTTGTCTTTTGGTCGTGGACTGGGTGACACAGATGTGGGTGAGACCCATGGGGAGGTGACAATGGCAGCTTTTATCTTGATGTTGATTTTGTTCTTTTCCTTCCGGGCTTGTCTGGTTGTTTCTGACCCTTTTCTGTGGGTCCCCACTGGAAGATGCTTTAGACTTGTGGCAGGCTTTGGGGCCTTGCTCTGGGCCAAGCCCATATGGATGGACTTTTACCCACAAGGGGACGGGTAACTTTGGGTGCTTCATTTAGAAACTAGACTCTTTGCCTTTCCTGTATTGTTTCCAAATTTTATTAAAGTTCCTTCCCATTAAAGTCTCCTATGTTTTGTGTTGATGCGGCGGATGGCAGAACCCATTTAGAATAGGCAGGTTTGCGGGGTTTGGGCTGCCCCTCTCCCTGTCCTATAACAGATTGAATTGTAAGAGTTTTTAAATTATATTTTGGATATTCACAGTTATCAACTACATGATTTGCAAATATTTGTTCAGTTCAGCAAATTGCCTTTCATTTTGTTGATGGTTTCCTTTGCTATGCAGAAGTGTTTAGTTTAGTGTAGTTCCTGTTGTCTTTTTCGGAGTTTGTGGGTTTGGAGTGCAGGGTCCTTGGGTTCACTCTGGGAAAGATTTCACCAGAGCTCCTGTTTCAGCGACACACGGCAAGTTTCCCAAACGAATTTCTCCAAGAAACAGATACATTAGTTATATTTGAAGGGCAGGTTTATTAGGGAAGGTATAAAACAGTTAAAGACACTTGCATAGACACAAGCAGGCAGGAAAAGCTGCCCCAGAAGGGACAGATTTGCTGAGAGAGGCCTGCATGGTTGCAGGCCAGTGGCCTTGACAGGTCATGGCACACAGGAAGCTGCTGCCCTGCAGAGGGAGAGAGTTGGTGAAAGAGGCACCTGCATAGCCACTGGTAGGCAGTGGGATTTCTGCCCCAGCCAGTGCAGAGACTGCACTGTTATAGTCTTCTTCTGTTTGGGAGGGGCTCACCCCTTGTGAGCTGTCAGTTGGTTGCTAGTTTTGGATAACTATGTAGAATTTGAAAGGGACCAGATATTCTACAATGGGCTCAATCTCCATATCTTACCTTTGGCCTGTTCTCTTGACAGCAGTCTGATACCTTCTTGGATGTTATGCTTTGTAATCTAGGCATTCCTTGCCTCAGTATGCTAGTTTCCTCAGCTGTGTAGATGGTTATTCTAATCTCTTCTGCCCCCACCTCCTTGTGTGAGCCAGGTTTCTGGTCTTACGGCCCTTCTTTTTAAGTTTTTTTTTCTATTCTTGTCCTCTATCAGTCCCCATGTTATTTTTGCTTTTGTCATCTTTGCCATTACTGTAATTGTCATGATCAAAGACCAATTAATTACCTGCTATATTTTCTTCTAAAAGTTCTATGAGTTGGGATCCTATGTTCAAGTCATTAAACCATTTTGAGATGATATTTGGTGCATGGTGTAATCATAATCAGGTTTCATTCTTTGCATTGGCTGTTTTTCCCTGCACCTTTTATTGAAAAGACTATTCTTACCCTATTGTATATTCTTGCCCCCTTTTGTGGTAGATTAATTGACCATACATTCATGGGCTTATTCTGTGCTCTTTATTTTGATGAAACAGAATACATGTAGAGTTTATCTACATGTATCTTTTTGATGTCAATTCCATACTTTCTTGGTTACCGTGCTTCACACACCTTGTGCTTACCCTTCTAAGAACTGCACATCCCAGCTTCCCTACATCAATTGTGCTAGTTCTGAAGCCATATAACTTCTACATCTAGAACTTTCTTTCTACAATCTCAGTGATGGCTCCTTTTTCCTGACAGAACTCATACACTCTTGTAGTGGTCTCCACTAAAGTCCAGCTTTGAGGAAAAATGCCCTATCTCTTCTCTGCTGGCACACAGTAGATTTGTTGAGTTGAAATAACTCTGGAGAAGGAGGCCTCTGTAAGAGATATAGTTCGATTCTTGTATTGAGATGACTTAATTTAGCTTAAGAACACAGAAGAAAACCTTGGAGAATGCCAAGGGTGATGATCCTGGGAGAGCATGGGGTTGCAGAAGCAAGACAGAGTGAGCAAGCAGAAGAGGGAAGAGGTCAAAACGGTAAACACTGGAGAGTTCTGTGCAATGACAGCAGGAAGGCCAAGGATGACCTTACTGAGCAGGGATTTACTTGGGAACAGGAGCCAGAGCTGGAGGGAGGGCTGATCCTATAGAACCAGCCAGATCTGAAGGAGGCCCCTTCTAGGAAGCAAAGATATAGTGTCCTCCCAGATGCCAATAGACAAATGAAGCATTTAGTGGTGAATCCCTGGTCTCCACTATTTACTTTCCAAAATAATAATCAGAATAAGAAAGTATA